AAACAAAACAAGCAGCAGAACAAGGAGAAAGGCTGGCCTCTGCGTTGAGAAGACAAAATAAATAAATAAAATAATAAAAGGTCGAGTCGAAGCTTTGAAAGGAATTTTTTCATTTGAGAGAGATTATGAATAATGAAATGCAAACACAATAGTTACTATGTTTGTGAGCTGGTTTTGTTTCTTTCTGGGAGATGAATAAATGTCTCCTATAAGGAGTGGTGTTTCAGGTTATCAGGTTTGGCTGTGGTTGGGGTGAGCTCTGAGTGTGTACCCCAGTATTCTTTGCCAAACAAAAACTGGATATTAGATACTAGATGCAAATCCATATTTATTCCAAAGTCACAAGCTTCCTAATCCTTCCCAAGCTCTTCACAAATGAACCCGACAACACTGAAACGTCTAAAGAGATTTACTCCAGCTGTAGCAAATTCCTAATAATAAAAAATTTCCCCAAATGAGTCAGTCACACAGGAGGTAAATGAGACATTCTCTGTGAAGTCAGCATGCCATTTGGAGTGTGTCCTTTATACAAAAAAAGCCCAGCCTGGTGGTTAACTGGGGCTGGTCCACAGGGCAGAACCCAGACACTGGAAGGAGAGGGAATTTTATCTGCCAGATTCTAATTCTGGGTTGCTTTTCCCTCAAGCAAACCTGATAGGAAAATTCCGTTTTTCTAAGAAGTTCCAGTTAGGGTTGCTTATTTGCTTCACAAAAGGATTCACCAGAGGGGTCCTTTAAATAACCGGCTCAGAGAGAAAGTCTCCACTATAGTTGATTTATATGAACCCCTTTCAAAAACGCATCCCTTCAATATCTGTACGTGTAGACACCTCAGAATCTATCTGTAGCTGTTAGTGCAGCAAAAGGAGGTGGAGGGCATTATACCCTCTGACTAAGCTGAGGCATTTAAGCGAGTGGTGGCATTTGGGGGGGCCCTGCGAGCTCCCTCAATGACTTACAGGAGTGAGGAGGCAACTAGATAAAACCCTCACACTTGACCCGTCATTGTCTTTCTTGAAGAAATGGACACCATAAACACTGGAGCTAACTGGTGGTTTTTAAAAAAATCACTTTTTTCAACTCCCCGTTGAAGCTCTCTGCGTTCCCAGACCGTGCATCTTGTTTTTAGCCCTTAGTGGAGTCTGTGAGATGGATGGTAACAGTGGTAATATTTCCTTTTTCACCAGCTAAATGATGAGATCTGGGTTATTTTTCTCAGTTCTTCTACTTTGAGAAAAAAAAAATCCTAATGAAAACAGTGCTGTCTTATATATTTTTGACTTCTTAAAAAAATAAAGCTCCATTGTAAACTATCCAGAAAATTGAAGAGAACAAAATAAAAATTATCACTTACCTACCATCTATAAATTTTACTACTCTAACTATAGTCTTTCAAACTTTTCTGTATGTTTATACCCAAAAACATATATATATTTATATTTTTATATATGTATGTATAAATGTATATACATATATACACACACACATATATCTTTCAAAACTTCTTTTTATCTAGCTTTTTTTTTCAACCTAATGTGCATCATGGACATTTTTCTATAAAAATAAAAAACTATAGCATTATTTAATACGCTACAGTAGCACAGTATTCCACTTTATAAATATACCAAAATTGATTTATTCTCCCTCTATTATTAATTTACTCATGATGCTACTTATAAACAAAGCCTCTTTTTACTTTTCATATGCTTTTATGTATGTACCCAAATATGCAGATATATCTTTGCACAACTTCTGACTTAGTTTCCTAGGAACATTCCTAGTAGTGGTGTTACTGGATTAAAAGGTGGGCACAGGCCTCCCTGGTGGCCAAGGGTTAAGTCTCAGTGTTCCCACTGTGGTAGCCTGAGATCCCTGGCCAGGGAGCTGACCCACATGGCACAGCAGACCTCTCCTGACCCTCCCGTGGCTCCCCTCAGCAGTGTATTTCAGTACATCTGCCTTTCTGCTTCCTGCTCTGTCTCTGGTGAATCCTCTCATACCCATTACCCCAAACCCCTGGCCCTGCACCTCAGGCCTACATCCCAGTTCTTCTATGCAAAACTAAACAAATAAAATCTTTAAAAATAATCAGATAAAAGGTATGCATACCTTAACGTTTGTCCTGTTTTTACCAAGATGCCCCCAAAATGTTTGGACATGTGTACATTCCTGCTTATCTCTCACCTCTAGGCCCTGGCTCTGTCCCCAGGGAAAGTAGCTTCTGTGCCATGGCCTGGCCTCTTTGCCTCTGAAGTGGGTGTGAGAGTGTGGTGAGTCATGGTAAACATTTGTGAATGTTCACACGCGACTGCCAGCTGTGTACTGACACGGTTAAGGGGAAGGATGTCCTAAAGGAACTGCAGCGTCTTGTGGCCCCCACCCCCTACTCCAGCTTTCTGGACTGTACCCCCCCTACTCTAGTGATTGGAAACTACAATTCCCAGCAATACCAGGGAGAGAACCCCCGAGGACCCAAGGGAGGAGCTAAGCAGGAATTCTGGGACTTTGGGGGATAAATAGGGAGCCATTTGGTCTCTCTCACTCCAAAATGGCTCTCCAGACCACGTGACTCGGGGCTTTCAGTTAGTTTGTTACCAGAGCTCCAAGTCAGCCCAGCCGGTAAGATATTCCAGTTGTTGTTTACTTTTCTTTTCCCATTTTGTAAATAAGCCCATTTTGACCTTTTTGTGTGTGACTGCAGTATAACTGAATTTTAGGCACGCAGGTAAGGCCCCACAGACAGGCGGCCCAGTTCACACTGGGGTGCCCTGTAACACTTCATATATAGAAGTGTTGGCCATTTAAGTCTCAAACAATCCTAGGAGAATGTTTCTTAGATCAGGACTTTTACTTTCCTCATTTCTGAGGCTGTGGGAACCTAGCAAATAAGGCTGATCTGAGATCCAAACCCAGTTTTGCTCCTCCCAAGTTTAGGGGGTACGCTTCAGCCCAGGGCCAGGTATTCTCCACTGGGGGTGAACTGGATGAGTCCTGTCTGCTAGTGCACATCGGTGGTGTGTTTCCCAGCTCCACTCACACTGCGAGGACATCCCGGCTCCTCAGTGGACAGTTACTGTTCAAGGGTGCTTACTTACTTCAGTCTAGAAACAGCAAGGAGGGTTTTTCCGGAAGGTTTGGGGAATTTCCTTTGAGAAGAAACTTAAGTGTCTTTCACTTTTGTTTTGGAAGTGAGGAAGCATGTTTTCAAAGTCAGCACCATCTCCCACACTGAAACCACAGATGGAAACAAGCCCCCCATCCCCACTCCCTTTCTCAATCTGTGGCCATCCGGGTTTCTCCAGACTCTCACCAGCTTCTGCAATTCTTTTGAACATAGATTGCCAGGCCTCTGGGGTCTGTGAATAAACTAATTCTGCCCCACTCCTCCTACTTCCTTCGAAGGCCTCTTGATTGGGAAGTAGCTGAGCAACCTTAAACATGGCTTCCGGGAGCTGTGGTGGGGCCTCAGCCCCTGGGGCCCAACGAGCCACTTCTGCAGGCAGCAGCTCTCACACACTCCTCATGGATGGCAGGAGCCAGCAGGCACGTTCCACAGAGTGTAGGGTTTCCAGACCCTCTCTTTGCCTGATAGAAAGATTCCTTACTTGTTGTTTTAGCAGGTTAGTATAAAATAAACACACAGGGAAGGAGGTTTTTCAGTAACTAATGGTATAGTGGCCAGCAATTTGAAAGGAGTTGGTGGACATGTTTCCCACCTTAGTGGTATGACAGGAGTGTTTCCTGGATGAGGAGAGCACACAGACAGGGCTCAGTGAGGGTGGCCAGGATAAACCGAAGCTGGAAATGTCTGCCCACACGAAATGACATGTTAGATGCGCACCAGCCCGTGAACCCAGCCAGGGGTGTCTTTGAGGTGCATCCTCCCACCTCAGGCCAGTTTGGTTGTTTGGAATGAGCTCAGGCCTGGATGTGGGGAGGACAGATTGTCGGTTCTGCTTCTTGCAGAGGCTAATAGTTCTGTGCTCAGAGTTGCCATGTCCCTGGGGATTCTCCCCCCTACTTTTGGAGAAACATTTTTATTGCCTTATCTATTATGATGCTGATTCCTTTTAAAAATGTGTTGGTGTCCAGATATTGATAATGTGAACTTCTCAGAGTCATCTCATTTGGGGAATTGTTGTCACTAACAAAGAAGAGATGGAGGGAGTCTCCAAACTGAAAAGGAGTGGGAGGGGTGGGAAATAGGACCTCGACCTCCAAAATATCTCCATTGTGCCTGGCTGGGGGCCTGGCATCTTACGCTTATTTTTCCATTCCATCTCTATCTCCACCTCCTGAAGTGGATATTCATAGCCTCACCTTACAGATGGAAAAACTGATGCTCAAGGGGGTTAAGTAACTTGCAGTGACACTGAGCTAAGAGGAAAAGCGTGAGAAGTGAAGCCAAAGGAGAAATAAAAGTGGTGCTACCGAAGGGGGGAGGGGAATGTTCATTGTGACATGTCAGATAGAATAACGCTTCTGTTCTTATGTGGGCAAGAGATAACGTAGCCATCCACTGAGAGGGTCCGTTCTGTGGCCTTCCAGCTGTGCAGCTTCCACACCTACAATTCCGGTGTTGGAACACAGACTTAAATGCCTTTAAAAAAAAAATTATTCATTTGTGCATACAGAACTGGGGTACAGGCCAGAGGCTCAGGGGTGGCAAGAGGCTTCACCAGAGACAGAGTGGGGAGCAGAACTGGCAGCTCGACAAAGTCCACTGCTGAGGGGAGCAGCAGGCGGGTCAGGAGAGGTCTGCCACACCATGTGGTCACCTCCGGGGTAGGGGGGAATCGAACTCATGCGGAAGTGGCTTTAGCTTCCCAGTGCTGTGCTTTAACCCGCTGTGCCACCAGGGAGGGCCTTAACTGACTTTTTTAAAATCAGTCTGAAAGACCCAATGTCTATAAAGCATTGGGGAACATGTGTACTGGCTTGGAACAACGGCCCCTTTGTGATCTGTTCTCATGGATGCCCCTTCATCTGTTCTCTCCTAGGTATGATTTCATTGAGATTCGGGATGGGGACAGTGAATCTGCAGACCTCCTGGGGAAGCACTGTGGGAACATCGCCCCACCCACCATCATTTCCTCAGGCTCAGTGCTCTACATCAAGTTCACCTCTGACTATGCCCGACAAGGGGCAGGTTTCTCCCTGCGCTATGAGATCTTCAAGACAGGTCAGTGGGGCCCGGGTGGAGCATGGGAGCTGGGTATGGTAGGGAGAATGGAACTGGCCTTTGGTGTCTGGCGTGCTGTGCTGCATACAGCTACGGCTGCTTACTCCTAGATGGAGCCCACTGAGTGGAGAAGGTGGTAAGGATGTCAGCTTTTCCAGCCTGAGCAAAGTGACAGAGGGATGTGAGGTTCACAAAGAGCCTAGAGACACCTCAAGATGAAAGCCAGTAGGTCATTTATCATCCAGCTTGAGAGAATGGGTTGCAGGCGGAGTGTGTGTTGCTGCACAGTGGGTAGACAAGCTCTGTGACACCCCATAAACTGGGCACCAAATTTTTTTTAAAAGCAAGAAACAAACAACACTTGGAAAAAAAATTGATTTTTGTGTGCTTTTTAAAAAATCACAGTAATCTTCATGGGGAAAAAAACCCACAAAACCCCTAATTACTTCCTGCTTTAATGTTGTCTTTATTTGGAATTGCATAGATTACAAGGACTTGAGCTTTCTAGTGTTTATAGTCTTTAAAGATCTTACTATGACCCCCTCGCCCTCCCCCACGCACCCCTCTCCCCCTTCAAAGGAGTCTGGCAGTAACTTTTAAATTCAGATAAGTTCCTCTTTCAATTTCTGCTACCCATTGAAGCCCCATTTCTTAAACACTGATGAAGTTGTCCCCCTTGAAAAGCAATAAAAAAAGATCGCTGAATAAGAGGCTGAAAGAGAGGTGACTGAGGCTCCCCAGGCCAGCACTTCAGTCTGTAACTGGGTAGGGCATCTACACTGGAGCACTCCAAGGGCCCCTGCTGCCCCCACATGTGAACTCATTATCTCCAGGATAGGGAAGCTTATCCTCCAAATCTCCCCTCACTCCCCCACTCCCCTTCCCAGAGGCTTCCACCCCATGACCGGTTGCGCCCCCTCCAGCAGGCTAAGTTACAGCTCCTGGATGGAGTCTGGTGAAAAGGGAAGCCGTCAGCCTTGTCATCATGGGGCCCAGCTCTGATGCCTGTTGGGTTCAGTGTGAGGGGAACTATTCATATATATTTTCTTTTTCACTAAACAAATTTTGAAAGGAAGTGGTAGCTGCTGAAAGCACTTTTGATATCCATTCTGTCTAAATATTTGTCAGATCTGTCAGCCTGAGAACAAGAACATAGAATCCACTCCTAAGGAACGTGGAGTCCGAGAGGGAGCTCTGACTGTCACCAGGACGCGCCCTCCACAAGTTCACCTGTGGCTACCATGGTCCTGACTGTGTGATGTTATGGGACTTGCAGTCTGTGTGTCCAGGGACGCAGGGCTGCGTGGGACTCCCACATATCTTGAGCCCTGTTCCCCTGGTTCTTATCTTCAATTGCATCATCCTTTGCTGGGGAGCAGCGGGAAGAGAAAAAAAGAGAAAGGAAAAAGCCAGGGTGTTTGCCCTCTTCTAATGAGCTGAGTGTGTACACCCTTAGCCCATAACACAGGCACTGTACTTATTGTTGGGTAAATATTTGTAAATTGAAAGGAAAACTATCATTGGAGGAAGAGTTAGTGCTTAGTAAAGACATGATTAATTTGCTATGGTTATGAAAATGAGGGTGCAAGCTGAGGACTGGGAAGTATTTTTCATAGCAAGGTACCCAGTGCTGAAGCTGTCACTCAGCTCCACTGTGCTGCGGGAAAAGAAAACATCTCCGAGGCAGGACTTCTGTGGCAGCTGGCCACCTGGAGGCAGAAGGGTGGGCAGTAAAGCGCGTCACTGCTTCATGCCTCCTAACTTAATAGTTCACAAAGAATGATACTGCATTCTCCAGAAAGCCCGACAAAGTGAATGTTAACTATCCATCATGCACTTCTGAAGGGCATTGCTGTGATGAGGGCAGGCTGATGTAAGGTTTCCAGGAGGGAAACCATGCCTTGGGCATGGAGAACTGAACAGCCTACTTTATGGGCTGGAGTGGCCTGAGGCAGGATGGCAGGACGAAGAGATGCAGGATGGCAGGAGGAAGAAATGAGTACCATGGAGACAGCCCACCCAACAACAGCCCTACTTCTGGGAAATGTAAGAAAAAAGAGGAGAGCTCAGTGAACTACTGAGGGTCTCAATCGCCTGCCACCATACCCACCCCAAAGAGCAAGTCCCTAGCATGTGAGTTGGTCCTATAACGTGTACATAGATGACGTGTACGTATAACGTGTTATCTAACATGTACATATAACAAACGTGTACATCTGTACAGGTGCAGAATTCAAACCTGAGACATCCAGGAAGTGCATTCTTCCAGGTGCCTTGACCAGCTCCCACATTTCCATTGTCAGAGTCCTGGGAGAAAATACACAAAGTTGACGTTATCCATAGAACATGAAAGAAATGGTGAACATGCTGAAGAAATCCAAACAAACACAGCTATGTTTGCTGGGGAGATTCATAAAGGGGAAGAAAGGAGAACTGTAAACACAGATACACAAATAACCATGTGAAAGCTCTGGAAAGCTTTGACAGCACGCTGCCCTGCTAGGGTGGGCTGCAGAGTTCTACAGACAGACATAAACCCACAGTGGGGGTGCCGATAGGGCAACGGAGTGGGAGGTTCATGTCTGCCTTGAATGAAGAGGTTTATGAAAGAGTCTGTGTATTACCAGACTGTCCATATATAAACGGGTAGACCAGAATGCCCAAGTCATCAAATCAAGAACAGAACAAAAAGGGAATTTTTAAAATAACTTTAATAGTAACCTTGGAACTGAATCACTTGAAAATGTGCTGGGCTTTCTGTTTTTTGAAGTTTCTTTGACCAAAGTTCCTGGTGTCAATGTCATTCCAGGAACTAAAATCTCAGGGGTCATTTGCAGAGAGAATCTGGGATGGGAGTAGAGATTCCCAGCTCTTGAATTTAGTCACCCCATCTTCCGTTAGTGGTCAGGCCAAAGTCAGCTTTGGATCATTCTACCATGTTTTAAGTAGCTTTATCCCTGCAGATTCTTTTTTCCACTTGTGGAGTTACTATAAAATTTACTGTGGAAAAACAGAGGTTTTTTTTTTTTTCATACCAGAGTCCTTTGGTATGAAATCATTCACTGCAGCTGAAGTCCCCCAGCATCTATGGACAAACATAGCACCCAGTGAACTCAAGTACTTGTTCACGGAACCACTTTTTACACTTTAATCCTTTTAACACCTTGCAGAAAAGGATTTTAGATTAGGTAGCTCTCTGCAGAAGTCAACCTTGTCCCAAGGTGTCACCCTATTCTGAGGTCTCTTCCCCGTGTTTGATACTCGACTGCATGCGTACAGACACAGACACACTGATCCAAATGATAAAATGGCACCATGGAAGAGAGTCAGGTTCCAATAGGTTTAATTTTTCTTCATAGAAGTTGTTTTTCTAACTCATTCAAAATAAACCAGAGGGTAGACCCATTTATAAGAGAGACACATTTTTATTTATTTATTTATTTATTTATTTATTTATTTATTGGCATGTGACATGGAGAAGTTCTCTCCTGTCAGATGCTGGAGTTTAGTACCCTGAAACTGTAATCCTTAAGAATCTCACATTTTCTAAGTCTCCCCAGGAAAGTTGTGACAGAACCTGCCCCGCAGGGATGGAGGGACCAAAGAAAGATTCCACCAGCATTCCTCATCCCTAGGGGGTGGGGATTCTCCCTGCCTTTGGAGGAAATGACAATAGAACAAACTCTTGGAGGGGAATGTCTGGAAGCAAGTTGTGAAAGGAGTTAATTTCCTCTGGCTAAGTGACTCACTTGATTAAGGCTGCTCACTGCCATAAACCCTAACCTTTTCAAAATTCTTCTTGGCCCCCTGAAGACCAGCCTGCTAGCTTGGTGTTGCCAAGCTGCCTCAATCCAGGCCATTGAGAAGGCCCTCAGAAGCTGGGGCCTGGGGAGGCTGTCCCAAGTGCTTCTCCCCAGGCTGGCTGCCCAGACAGCCCAAGCCTGATGGGAGAGCAGAGCCCCAGACATGCAGCACTTGGAAACACCTCTAAAACCCGGGAAATGTTAGCTCTGACCCCCTTCCCCCCCCCCCCCCCCAGGTATCCTGGTACTCCCACTGCCTGGGCACAGTGCAGAGATGGATAAGGATACTGGAATTTCCTGTCTGATGCTAAAGAAAGTTACAACCTCCCCTCCCCCACGTATTTGCATGGCACCTTTTCCAACTCAGACATTTGGCGCTTTCCAGAAAGCCATCATCAATAAAGAGACTCACGGAGGGCCCTCGCGGAGGGGCCGGCTGCGGGGCGCTGCGGATAAAGACATCGCTGCGGGCTAAGATCAGCGTATTGACATCACATAGTTTTATTTCAGCGGGATCCCCAGAGAACACTTCCTGCCAGTAAACACCTGGTTTATCGAGTATTTCTGTGTTTTCTCTTCATGCTTAGAGTGCCTATTATCCTCCTCATAAATCCGGCTACCTTTTTTTAATTTTAAAGTCAGAACTAGCAAAATCGATTCTAATCGTCCAGTGTTTACATGCGCCACGTTAAACCACATCACCCCTGGCCCCGGTTGGTCTTGGCCCAGGGTCCAGGGTCTGGGCTGCATTGCCCGGGACCACTGGCTGAAGAGAGGGCTTTCTCTTTGACTCCACCTGGAGGCAGTCTCTGGCTGTTGGCCAAGCCTGCTCCAGGAGCCATGTGTAGGGCATTTCGTAAGGATGCTTTGGTACATCGGAAGAAAGCAGACACAGGAGTTTAGGAGAGAAACAGGGTTGTCCCCACCATAAAGGAACCAGAAGCCTTCCAAATGTCAATACACTGCCACATTTTTCCAGACTTGCTGCTGGAGCTGAGCTGCCTTTAACGTCCTGAAGCCCTGCTGTGATCCATCCGCTACAAACGTTGATTGTTAATTGTCTGGCCACTACAGAGCAGCTCGTTTTAATATAGTCATGACATGAATGAGACCCAGGCTCCCCTTTGCCCCTCCCCTGAGGCACCTTGGATCTTGATGGAGAAGGGGGCACAGAGTTGGCTGTGGTACAATAGAGGCTAGTGTTGAGGTCAGCAATAAATAAGGAGTAACATTGTTTCCCTGCTGGCAATCAGCAAGCCTTCCTTAAGGATTGAAATAACTTACATTTCTGGAGCAAGCAGCTGAGTAATTGAGAAAGAAGACTCTGTTCTTTTCAAGAGAATCTCAATCTCTTTCTCTCTCTCTCTTTCTCTCTCCTTTCTCTCTCTTGCCCTTTCTCCCTCCCTCCCTCTCTGCCCACTCTCTCACACACACACTTCTTTCTAAAGGCCCCTTTCCCACTTTCTCAATAGTTGTTCTTACTCCAGTGTGGACAGCACACCAGCTTGCCTCCTTAATTTCTGCCCTAAAGAGACACTGGCTTAAGGGCTTGAATGTGCATGTGAAAGTGTGTTGCTTCAAGGGCCACTCCAGTGGAAACAAAACCCAACTGAGTTGGGGGATTTGGGCGCAAATATTTAAATAACCCATGAAACAGAGACCACCATCCTTTTCTACTTTGTTGATGCTACAGTTGTCTTTTACATACAGGCTCCGAAGACTGTTCAAAAAACTTCACGAGCCCCAATGGGACCATCGAATCCCCTGGGTTTCCTGAGAAATACCCACACAACTTGGACTGCACCTTTACCATCCTGGCCAAACCCAAGATGGAGATTGTTCTGCAGTTCCTGACCTTTGACCTGGAGCACGACCCTTTGCAGGTGGGAGAGGGAGACTGCAAGTATGATTGGCTGGACATCTGGGATGGCATTCCCAATGGTGAGTGATGTCACTGGGGCCTCTTAATTGCTTTAGTAACAATAAAAGTGGAGAACAAAGACTTCAAAGTTCTTTAGGATGCACATATGACCCCCAATAGCTTTCTCGTCTTATCCTTCACCCAGGATGGCTTCAGGGAAATTGTTGAAAGTCAGATTCCTTTTTAAGAGGTATTTCTTTGGAGAAGAATAGAGGGGCATGAATAAATAGTTGGATAAGGATGAAGAAACCTACATGTTCTCTTCTGCTCTACGTTGTCAGGCTTACCATAGAAAATGGTTCCGTCACCACCCTCTGTGCCCAAATGGGAGTAAAGAACCAAATCTTCTAGATTTAAATCCTGCTTTTAGCAGGTTCGCAACTTGCAACCTTGGGCAAGTTACTTAACAGCTGCTGTCATTTTTATTATTGTAATGTTATTATTCTAAATGTAGTCATTTTGTCAACACAGTTCAAACAGTTCATCACTCAAAGTAGAAAGCAAGCAGTTCTCTAGGTGGAAACCAGCATAGGTCTTAACTATGGTCACTATTGGCAAGGAAACCGGTCTTTCACTTTTGTAGTCATTCAAGGTATTTTCCGCTGGAAGGGAGACTTGATGGCTAAGCCATTTCTGAGAATATGCCTGAGAAAAGCATGTGATTTAGTTTGAAAGCTTGGATGTGAGTTTCAGCTCTGCAGTTGCCTAGCATATGAAGAAGTAAAAGTCCTGTATGCTCTCCGAACCTCGGTTTCCCCCAGAGAATGACAGGCATTACAACACCAGTGCTCCAGCCTCCAGGGCTACAAGAGCAGAATGGGGCCGTTTCAGTGCAAGTGTGTTCTAATGTGCAGGAAAATATTAGACATTGTGGGTCCTCCCTGGTGGTGCAGCAGGTTAGAGCACAGCACTAGGAAGCTAAAGCCACTTCAGTGTGAGTTTGATCCCCACCCCGCAGTGATCCACATGGCGTGGCAGACCTCTCCTGACCTGCCTGCTGCTCCCCTCAGCAGTGGACTTTGTCGAGCTGCCTGTTCTGCTCCCCACTCTGTCTCTGGTGAATCCTCTCACCACCCCTGCACCTCTGGCCTGCACCCCAGTTCTGTATGCAAAAACAAATAAATCTTTAAAAAAAAGTAGTCATTGCTCTTAGATTATTTCATGGGATGTGGGGTGATCTTTTATGCTAAGGCATACAAAGTGATGCTCTTTTGAGTGATTTGCAGTTGTGGGAAGGGAGGATGTATTAAAATTGGAGTTTGACTTTTATCTCTTCTGACCTCTTTTTGTCCGGCGTGTCCAGTTGGTCCCTTGATTGGCAAGTACTGTGGGACCAAAACCCCATCTGAACTCCGTTCCTCGACGGGGATCCTCTCTCTGACCTTTCACACAGACATGGCGGTGGCCAAGGATGGCTTCTCTGCACGCTACTACCTGGTCCACCAGGAGCCGCTAGAAAGTGAGTTGGCTGGTTGGGAGATAATTCTTTTCTCACTGGGATGGGAGTGTAGACTGAAGAGAGGCTGATCTCTGTGAGACAAGGAGAGTGGGAGTCTCCAGAATGTGCAGACATCCAAGTTCAAGGAATGGGAACTGCATCCTCTTGCCAGGGAGAGATTAATGAAAATAACACTGTGCCTGGTACTCGTTTCATTATATATAAAAAGAGAAGTATGTGTATTGAGAATTAGTGATTCCCAGAGAAAATTGCAGGACTATCTTAGGTCGCAGTGTTCATATCGATGTTCTGAACCTATATTTATTGAGTCTGGAGCCTTCCTCCGAATCTCAGTGGCCATTGTGTCAAAGCTGAGCAATTATAAACCTCACTCTTTCCCGACATGCACAGACACATACACACACACACTACATATACTACATGCATGTATGTGTATACACACAGGTGTGTGTAACATGTTTTGTGGGGCTGGGAGATGTGCATATCAATATTATGTTTTTGAAGTTGAACATCTTTGGTCCTGCATAGAGTTTCCATCACCAGACTGGTACATTGCTTGGGCATTTTGGTGTGGATTTGTATCCTCACACTTCCAATAAATATAGTATGTGAGCTTGACCCATGCAGCGCTGACCCAGCTGTCATAGAACCTGCTGGCCAGGCCATCGGAACTACATCTTGCCCGGAGCTACATCTTCAGAGTAGCTCCTATTGGACGAGTGCTGCTATTTCCACTTAGAAACCCAAATGATAACTTTAAGATGAAAAACAAACAACAACAAAAACACTTAAGAGTGATTAGAGCCAGAACACCTTGCTTTGGTTGGAGACAGTTTGCCACACAGACACAGCGGCCCGGCCTGCCAGCCAGCCACTGGGGTTTGCTTTTTTTTTTTTTTTAAATCAAATTGCTCAAGGAGATTGACTGACAAGAAAACAGTACAGCAAATTGCACCAGATCCTACAAATGACCAGTGCAGTCACAGAGCAAAAGAGCAGGCTTGATGCCTGAAAGTGATTGCTGGTCCTTATCAGACACACGCACACACAAATATTGACCAGTGTCCATGATATCTCTGGGAAAGACAGCAATTAAACTGATGGCACAAGGCCAGAATAAGTGACTTCTGGGTCTGTTTGCCCAGACAGGTGGTGCAGGGGAATAGAGAGTGACATGCATGTGTTCAAGAGATCTCCCAAAGACAGGTACTTATTGCACTGTAATGTGTCTCTTCTGTGCCGAACTCATGAGACAGTTGAATGAAAAAGAAAGAAGCAAAAGTGCCCCTCGGGTGTTTATTAATAAGGCAGGCTTCCCAAGATGTATCAGCCCACCCAGATGGCCACAAGGTCTCAAACATTTACTTGCCTTTCAGTAACAGTGCATCTGGCATCCACAAGCATCCGTACCCTGCAGCACTAACAGTTCTGGCGCTTTAGATTGTATTTTTAATTTGTATGATGATGACTTTTATTTATCCACAGCCTGATTTCTTTTAGGTCCAATTGAGTTTCTTTCTGTCCCAGAGGGGTTGTCAAGCGCTATGCCTAGACGTAGTCAGTTTTAAAATATGTATGTATAATTAGTTCTTTAAAATCAAGGTGTGCCTGCAAGGACTTGTCCCTAGAAGGGAACAATGTTTGGGGGACCCCAGGGCTTTAAGTTTGAAAGACCTAACTCTTCCCTTGACCATCTCCATTTCCCAGACTTTCAATGCAACGTCCCTCTGGGAATGGAGTCTGGCCGGATTGCTAATGAACAGATCAGTGCTTCCTCTACCTACTCTGATGAGAGGTGGACCCCTCAACAAAGCCGTCTCCATGGTGATGACAATGGCTGGACACCCAACTTGGATTCCAGCAAGGAGTATCTCCAGGTACTTACTCAACTACCAGAATGCACAGAATATACAACATGTTTGGATGGGTGAGGTGGGCTCCTCCACCAGAGTGGACAGAGGACACCAGGAAAATAGACACAACAGATTTTATAATTCCATATATCCGTCGCTGCAAACAGACATGCGCTGGCCATAAATAGACTGTGCCAGGCACTGTGCTAGGTGCTGGGATAAAAAGGATGAGTAGTGTGGACACTGCCCCTTGCCCTAGTGAAGATTACTAGCTTACAGAAGTTGCTTGGCTAGCATGATGTTTGCCCTGTCACTGTAGATATTCAAGGAACATTCTATAAACAGTTCCAGATCTTCTTCATTCTTGGCACAGGGAGACATCAGAGACTTTAGGGGGTGGGCAGGCCTGTTGAGTTGCTGGCTGAGCATGGCAGCTTCTCATGATCTTTGCTATTTGGAGGGAGCCCTGCCAGGAAGGTTTTGCACATAGCGATCAGAAGAACACATGGAGAAATGTCACTACCGGAATGAAACTCTGGTTGCCCAGATGCTCTGCAGCATCTTTTTAAAAGTATTGTTTACTTGCCTTCTGAATAAAACTTCCAGCTCCTGGTGAGTAATCATCCTTTGCACTCCATACTGGTCTGGTTGTCCTCCCCAAGGAAGAGCAAGCTGCTAGTCCCATGTAGAACACCAAACACTTTTGTGACACACCGCAAACAGTCTTTGTGACCCACTGACAAGCTGTCTTAGCTCTGAGGCAATGTGGTAAGCTCTGCTCTGAGAAGCATGCTTCAGAGCAGGCAGGAGAGGGAGAGGGGCAACTGAGAAACTGCCAGGGGTCTACAGAAGTTCTAACAGCACAGCCTGAAGGCTATTTGTGGATCTCTTCTCTGCCTTTTCCCAAATCCTTTTCATCCTGCAAAGCCACCAGAAAATTCTCCATTAAAGTCGTCTATCCATTGATTACCCTCTTCATTTTTGCTCCTTAGTCATATACTTTTTCCCCCTTCCCACCTGTTTCTTATATACATACAGCACCATATATTAATTTTGAATGCAAAGTACAATCTTAAATAGCCAATAACTGCTTGCTGAATCCAGTTGTACCAGATTGTGCTGATTAAATTTTGATCACGTGGAGCTCACCATTTAAAAGCATAGTGGCAAGCAAAGGAATGACATCTAGCAATTTTCAAATAGGTTCGATGTTGTAGGACGGGAGATGCCTGAAAAGGTTGGCCATCCTCCTTATAGAGCAAAAAGGTCAGGACTCAATACATAAGCCTAATTGCTTGGGCAGACTTTGCATGCCCTTTGACCCCTGAGTGACCTGAGCCACTAAATACACAATGGAGTGAGGGGCTGAGGGGAGGGAAGACAGCCATAAGCTGAGACTTTTGCAAGTAAGGCATCATAAGTGAATTGGATTGAAGTGGATTTAGCGATTGTTCCTTTAAAATAGCATTTGCTTTCATGAGCCAAGGCAGCTTGTAGATTAGACAGACGGGGTCATAACGCTAGATGCTGAAGGATTCCTTTAAGTTTAACTTAATACTGTCCATTCAGATTTGCAGAAAAGAGAAAAAAAGAAAAAGAATCAAGTTATGATTCCAAAGGTGTCCAAATTTGTGGCAGTTGAGTTGAACTGTCTAGTGGAATTGCAAACCACTAGGATCACCTGCGCATCTGAATGAAACTCAGGCACAGGTTGCGAGCCAAGTACTACAATGCACCCTTTGAAGAGAAAGCAAGATGCCACCGGTGTGAAAGTCACCATCTCCTTCCTTCTCCACTTTCCTTCCCCAGGTGGACCTGCGCTTTCTAACCATGCTCACGGCCATCGCGACACAGGGAGCAATTTCCAGGGAAACCCAGAATGGCTATTATGTCAAGTCCTACAAGCTGGAAGTCAGCACCAACGGTGAAGACTGGATGATGTACCGGCATGGCAAAAACCACAAGGTGAGTGTCTTTCCCATCTCAAAGGCCTGTCAGGATGGTGGGGGAGGAGTGGGAAAAAGGAGCTCAAGTCCCTCCTGAACTGGGATGAGGCCTGTTCAGGGAGTCTTGGTAGGGCGTGAAGATATTAGCCCTGAAAATGCTCTTTCTTATGGGAAAATGATTGGAAAACACCGTTTCTCCAACAGCCCCACTACTGTTGCATCTTGCAAAGCAGAGAGAGAGGGGGGAGAGGGAGGGAGAACTCACAGAGTGCTCTCTGACTGCAAATGAAGGAGAAAATGTGTTCCCAGCCCGTGCCTCCCCATACAGAATTCATTGGGCATTTATGGCCTGAGTCCCTTCCACATGCTGGGTTAACAATCACAAAACCACATGAAGCTGCAGTTCAGGAGTTACTGAGGTCTGGAAATGAAAGGGCACAAATGCTGCGAGGGAATCACAATGTCCTGAAGAAGAAAGAGGACAATAAATAATGAGGAGAAATTCAGTTTGTCAGGGATGGGATCTGAACTGGCAATCACGCCTGGCAGCCAGGCACTGCATTTTCTCGGCTGGTGCCTTCAGTGTCGCTGGCTCCCGGAGGTGTGTCCGTGAGGGTGATGCGGGGCTTTTGTTGTACTTGTGGGTGGATGTCTGGCACTTGGCTTGCCTCAGACACATGGCGGTGAGCAGGCCTGCCGCTGGCGCCCACGCTGCGCTGGTTGTTGGGCACCTCAGTGGTGGAAGCTTGGGAACCACCTGGGCTTGCTGGGAGGGGGGGGGGGCGGGGGGGGGACCTCTGCTCATGAAAGCCAGCTCTTGGGTGTGAGAAGAGAGTGAGAGCTTGTCCTGAAGCTCCCTGGAGGGGCTCCTCCTGCCCTGAAGGGGGCTGGGGAGGGAGAAGAGGTGCTCTCTCTCCTTCGGGCTGCAGCTCTACCAGTCCCTGGCCTGCCAGATGGTGAGTTACCAAATGGGCCATGTGGCCAAAGGTAGAAATGTCAGCGATCTTTTCCCCTTGGAGTTTCCTCAGCTCCTGTCCTGTTCAAGGGCAGCTTGTTCTTACTGGTGCAACTGGAAATACTGGACCCAGAAAACCCTGAAGTGTGTTGGCACTCAGGAAACACGAGTTTCAAACGGAGTAGTAGTAGTTGTTGTTGTTGTCTCATTAAAATCACCATAGTAACGCGGCATCATTCATTTGAAAATCGTGGCTTCTGGGTATTCCCAGGTATCACACACACACGAGTTCCCCCACTCAGCATATAGAGAAAGTGAGGTACTTAGCTGTTGAAAGACTTCCTCGCCTTAATGGATGAGGAAACACACCTTTGTTTGGCTCAGGAAAAATTGCCAAACCTTACTTGGGGATGGCAAAGCTCAGTTTGCCTAGCACTGGGTGCCAGGAGTGCTGTGGACAGAGTTCTCGTGCCACCCACTCCCTCTCCACTCACGCCTTCTCCCTGCACCCACTCTTTTCAGTTAAGAAGCTGCTGGAACCCAGAAGCTTAGCCAAGCAAGTGAGGGCCAGCAATTGGGTAGGGTTGGGCCTGGGGGAGGAGGATTTCACCTGATCGCCTCCTGGTCCAGGCTCAATGACTAAGCAGCACTAGCAGAGGGATCCTGTAGCATAAGCTGATTTTAAAAGCACACAGATGGACCGGGATGCTATTTAAAACACCATTTGTAGGAAATCTGCTTTTGGAAATACCTTAGCACTGCACATTTTGATAGAATACTGTCCTCCCTGGCTTTATCCATGGTATTTGTTCTGCAGGGAAGATATTCCTGAGAACTGAATTTTGCATTCTGGGCTCCTTTAGAATCTTTCTTCCCAACTTTTCATATCAGATACCTCATTCTCTTTTTTTCTTCCTCTCTCTTGCCTCCCCTTCTCACTCTTGGCTAAATCCTCTCCCTCCCCAGCCACCAAGGAGTAACTTGGTTTTCATTTTTTGGTTGATGTCTTTTAAAAAAAATTGAGTGAATCAGTCCTGTCCACATAAAGGACGTCAGGGCAGAGAAAGAACCTTTCTCTCCCAATTAGAAATTCATCCTCCTGCTATTTAGGAAGAGACAGGAGAATGAAAGTCAGGCCCTCATTTGCCTGGCTGAGCTTCTGAGTTCCAGCAGCTTCTTAACTGAAAAGAGTGGGTGCAGGGAGAAGGCGTGAGTGGAGAGGGAGTGGGTGGCACGAGAACTCTGTCCACAGCATTCCTGGCACCCAGTGGTAGGCAAACTGGGCTTTGCCATTCCCAAGTAAGGTTTGGCAATTTTTCCTGAGCCAAACAAAGGTGTGTTTCCTCATCCAACTAGACATGGCCCCCTTTCCAACCTCCCCGCCCCACTTTGGGTGTGGCTGGGGACAGGGGCCACCTGCCCAGTCCTTTTGTCCAAGGGGGAGATCTACTGCTCCTTCACACGCAGATCCACTCCCAGATGTCTGTATTTGATGTGCGGATCCTGCACTGTCCATGGCGTGTCAGCGCAGCTCTCTGGACTGCAGGTTGAAATAGTTGAGTGAACCGTGCCAAATAGATTTGTCAGGTCTGCTGCTGTTTGATTTGATGCACAAAGGGGAGGCAGGTTGAGGAGAGGGCTTGGGGGCTGTTCAGGGAGAGGCTCTGTCTATGCAGGGCGCTACCACTGAGCTTCTCTTTGTAGCTGCTGGATGGTGGGCACCATGCCAAGCTAGCTGGTGCTCGGTGGTAGGCTTGAAAGTGAAGTTCAGATGGCAGGACTGTGAGCAGAGCAACGCAGATGCAGGCAGCTGCCTGCTCTGCTCCGTGGTATAGCAGCGGGTTTGCAGAGACCCCAAGGAACATGGTGTGGGAAGAGGGGGTGGGGGCAGAAGTGTGGGAGCAAGATTCCAAGTCCCTGGTCACTGTCAACACCAATGCAGTGTACCAAAGACCAAGGAGCTGGGGAGGTTGGAGAAAACCAAGATTAATGAGGGCTGGTGGTGGAGGGATGCCTGGGCTATTTCTCTACAGAACATTCTTTACAATTTGGTCCCAGCCTGGGTTGAGGCAAGGCCTGGGCCTGTGAGCAAACAACTTTCTTCTTACAGCCAGGAGGTGACAAAGATTACTCTCTTCCAACCTCCCCCAGCTGGCGAGCAGCTTCTTAAGTCTCTTTCCATCCAGCAGGTAATGGTGAGAACGCCTGTGGAGATGCTTGCATTGGTGGTGGGTATTGCAAGCCTCCCCTGGCAAAACACAGCCATTTGCGCAGGCCACGTGTACAGCACATCCCCAAATTTATCCAGTTCCACATGTCACAAATCTGGAGCCTGTGATTTTCACCTAGGGCGGGGCCGCCTTATACATATTTATGGCGTAACCACAAGGCAGAGAGAGCGTCTGCCTGATGGAGCCCATATCCAGCCCATGTGCTCCCTTAGATTATACAAATTACTTCACATATATTACTTCAGAAACCACAAGCAGAAACTACTGCTTTTGGTTTCACCAGCTGTATTAATAACACCCCAGACACAGGCATGGTGTTGTAAATACAGCAGTAGAAGGTTCATGTGTGTGTAATTATAGACACAAATGTGTACACAAACCAAGGGTGGAGTGTGGAGAAAGATGGGAGGGCTGCAGCCTCGAGGCCTTGCTAGGGTCCTGCTCACCTCAGAGGCACTGGCTGTGAATGAGATAGTGACTGGTCAGGGCTGGGGAGCAGAGGCCATTGCCCTCATGGCTGAGCAAAGCCTATCGTGGCTTCTCCTTCATTTGGCACATGTGGGCGTATCCCGGTTGCTGTAATGCTGGTTACCTCACTTCTCGTCTGCCAGCCTGTTCCCCCAAGTGGGAGAATCTGAGCTAAAAGAGCAGTGCTCTCTGGCGGTTCCAGAAACATATTGATGGCCAGAGGAGAGTGGAAAGGTGAGGACAGGAACGAGGTACATCTGGGATCCCAGCGCTTGAGCACCAAGCTCCTCGAATTAATGTAATGATGACCTCCAAGGGGCTCTGAGATCCCTCAGGCACCAGTCTCCTCACAGCAGAATTTAATAGCATCTCACTGACTGAGACTGAAGCTCCCAGATGCTAAGTCCTTTACCCCAGAGACTAGAGAGCCAGGGCCTCCCTGTGGAAGGCACCTGGGTGTCAAGACTTGACTTCCAGGTGGTGCTGTCAGTGAGCTGATCAGAGACTTGTTCATCATCTTGCATCAGGAGAGAGGTCAGCTTCCTGGATGGCCTGACCACAGGTTGAGAGTTGCGAGTTTCCAGAGAGTGGAGCATGGATAGCAGGCTTAGAACAGGGGGCTCATTGCTTTGGACTTCGGGCTCTGTCATAGAACCCTGGGGGTTAAAAGAAGTTCCTGTTTGTTTAGTTTGGCAGCATCCCTCCCAAACAAACAAACACCCTGCTCCCAAAACCCTGTGTTTATTTTCTAAATTGAAGCAAATTATTTTGAAGACCGTTTGAGAATTTAAAACCTTCTGTAACATTATCTTCAACGTAGTATTATCAAGAAAACCAAGCCCCCTCCACATGAGTCCATTCACAGAGCCACGTGGCGTCTATCTTCAGATCTTCTCTGCTCATGTGCTAGGTGACCTTGGAAATGTCTCCTCACAGCTCCCTCAGTATTTCCATCTGTCCACAGTGCGTGGAACCGCGGCCCCTGGCAAAGCAGCCGGGCTCTGTAGATGGAAGGCTCTCTGTAGATATAATTAATGTATTAGCCCCACAAAGCTCTTCTTGAGCAGAAGCAAGTTATCAATTTAAAAAGTAACAAGGCCCCATGGGATATTTATCTGCCTCTTTAAAATCATAGGTCTGGAAGGGACTGCGATAAGTCATCCAGCCCTCTGATGTACTGTACTCGAGCCGCCTCTGAAAAACATCCCCCCTTTGGACCTCCATCTTCTGTTAGGAGTGCAATTTTTCCTCAGATAATAATTTTGAGTTTTCAAAAATAGGTATTTTTGAAGCTCCCCGCGGATGACCGGCTCGACTGTCCTTTTTGATGCAATCATGGTAGTCCTACATAAGACTAAAACGATG